GAGTGGCTCAGTTGGTTAAGAGTTCGCTCAAGAGTTTGAGCTCTGAGCAACAGCGGTTCGAGTCCAGCCCGAGCTGAGAAGCCGCTGAGCTGCCAACAGGTAGCAGGATGGCTCAGCTAAAAAAAAAAACAAAAACAAAGGAACCTCCTCCCTCTTCATTCTGCAGAACCTCTGTTCCCTTGATGACTTCCCAGATCGACGTGCACGTCCGGCAGGCATTCCCATTCCTGCTCCAACCTCACCCTCCGGGCAGCAGTGATGAGTTCTGCCATGTGGGATGGCTGAGGCCCAATTTAGAGAAACGCCACTAAGAATGACATCCACAGAGGAAGAAATAGCTCACAAAACAGTAGCACAAGGGGCAGGGTGGTTTGTAGGCTTCATAACAAAGGTAGACAAATAACTCTGTGGAGTTCAGAGGCAAGTTACAAGTCAGAAAGTTATCAATGGAAAATTAAAAAGAATCTTCACTTTTATTTTGTCAGCTTGGTTTTATATGAAGTATCCCTCAGCACAGCCTTTTAAATCACATTGTCCAGACCGAACGTACTACACTTTCACACGTACCCTTTAAGTATAGATTCCAACCTTTGTCCTCCTAATTCCTACAAAGCAAACTAAACAGACAGGCAAACATGAACACAGAGATTACATTTATATAGAAGAATAGAGAACTTACCACTCTCTTTTCCCTGAAATCAATGCCCACTGTTGTGATAAATTTGGAGTTAAATTTACCATCTGTGTACTGGTAAAGCACACTGGTCTTCCCTACTCCAGAGTCGCCCAAAGCTAAAAACTTGATGAGGTAATCATAGTCTCCATCAGACATAATGAAGAACTCAGCGTTTTACCTGCAAAATACAAACAAATGCATGTTCACTTTAAAATTCCATTAGAAAACATTAGAATCCTCTATGAAGAAAGTGACTTCCTTTAATATCCAGTTCAACAAGTACTTCTACGCATATGTAACACCTATATGCCTAGAGGTTCTGTGAGGGAAGGATTAGATATTACTCACCTCCCCCAAGGACCTAATAATTTGCTAGAAGAGATGGTACTGAAGTAGGAAATAATTAACAGTTCAGTTTCGATTGAATGCACATATTACAGTGCTCTTAAGACAAAAATTCCAAGTGAGAATGAATGATAATCAAGAAGATAACATCACTAAGTCCTATTTGCAAGATCATATCGTAGAACAAAAATTAAGAAAAGAAAGGAGGAAGGAGAATATTAGAGAAATAATAATAATTCTTAGAGCACAAGGGGTTCCAATTCCCCCTTCTTTTTTCTTTTCCAAAGTCTTCTAGTGCTTGATCCTTGGCTTTTCTCTCTTTTTACTTGGACATCTAGGTGATTTCATTTATCCTACTCATTTTCACATGTCATTCCAGTCCCTTCAAAGACAATGCCAAATTCACAAGTAAAATTTGGTTCGCCGCTTCCCTACATATTATTACTATCATATGTTACATATTAAATCAGGCATTTCTGGACTATCACTGCTCCCTTGGAAACTGAGCTCCAGATTTGAGCAGTCGCTGCTCAGAGACCATAGTTCCACAGCCAAGGGCTCATTCACCTATACTTGCTTTGGTATTCTAACAAGAAATGCTACCAATACAGCTCTTCAATGTTGCCTAAAACAAAAGTCCACCTTACAAAAGAAAACTTCTTGTTTTTGCCAGCAAGAATAAGGCCTAACCATGCTTATTTTTTATGCTTTGCAATTTGTACTTTTGGTGATTTGTTTTTATCCTCTAAATAGATTCAAATTATTCAAACTATCAGCCTAAAAATGTAGCCTGTTTCCAGGAAAGGCTTACATCTTTCTATCCTCCCATGTCTAATACCAAGAAACCCTCCTGAAAATTGGAAAAGTAATCAGCTGTCTCAGTACCACCACCAACAACTTGACCTGTCCATTCAAACATACACATTCAGCCATCCCCATGTCAGATTTCCTACGTTAGACACTGCTGAGTTTCCTCTCCTTACCTCCTTTTCACCCAGCCCGATAGCCAGAAACTTCACCACAATTCTCAATGCTTCCTATAGGATTATTTCTATAGCTCCATAAAATTAAAATTGCTCAGGCAAGGACGTTTATTGCTTTTCAAGGCTGCCTCCCCCACTCCATCCTCAGTTTGGTAGCTCACCGTATGCTCAAAAGTCTTGAATGCTGAGCCCCAAGAGCCGTGGCAGTGTACTTCCTTGGAGTGCCTTAGTGCAGATCTGTGACCTCACATTCAGATATGGCTGGTCAGTTGATAAGGGCAGAGCCTCTACAAACATTCGTATTCTATTTGCACACTGTAAAGAGTGACACTTTACAGATGATGATCTTTTGGGTTATAGCTTCTGTATTCACAGGTGTAGGTTGCCAGTGGAAATGGTATAGGGACAGAATTCTTTTCCAGAAGATGACCACTTGGGCACAGATATTCTAGTATCATATCACAGCATCTCTTGGCTCCAAGTTATTCAGAAATGAGAGCTAAGAATTGAAAAGCAGGTCCAGGTAATATTTAATCATTTTGGGGGTTCCCTCAATATGAATGAGGAAGCAGAAAGCAACTCCAAATTCTGCAATGAGAATGATGCAAGAAGACCCTGTGGCTACCTTATTTCCTCTTTACTTTTAATTTGAAAGAAGTTGGTCATTTCTAATTATGGTTTTATATCCTTTAGGGTACAGGAGAAAATGCTGTCACCAATGGCATCACTATTCTAGAATTCTTTAAACCCACTTAAATGGAATTCAAAGACAGATGAAACTATCTCTGCTTCACCAAAACTAATATGTTTAGTTATCAGGAGAGAAGAATTGCACATGTAACTCTACAAATGATCTTTATGGGTCTTGTTTCCTATTCATGTTGCTAGCAATATGTAAGTTTGTTCCCAAACCAAGTATCATAAAGGAAGTGTTAACCAACCAAATACTACAACTGAAGGTATAGATATCACCATCAATATTAATCATAGTTTGCACTCTTCAAACTGTACCTTTAAACAATTATTTGTCTTGTTCTCTGAAAACAAATGCTCAGACCTTTCATTCTCTAGGTTCAGTTTTCTAAAGGATGAAACAGAACCCAGAGAGGTTAACTCATTGGCATAGTCTAGATATAACATAGGTCTCCTAACTCCAAGTCCAATATCTATTCTACCCCAAGCTCTGTGTCCATTACTCAAGATTTTTACAAATGCATGTAGGGCTTAAAAGTGACTAGGTATGACTAGGATATCATACAAGGTAGCCTAACTGGAAACTCATGAACTGTGAAGCCATGCAGAGCTGGGTTGACCCCCGTGTCGCCCACATAGCAGCTACTCAGATGTCTTTGAGCTGTGGATTTCCATGTTTCCATTCCATGAAAAAGAAGATAATATACACTACCTCACACCATTGTTCTAAGGACTGAATGGGGTACTCTTTATGGAGAGCCCAGCACAATGCTTGGCATATGCTGGGTATTCAGTAAATGTTAACTCACTCCCTTCTCCCCATTCTGGACAGATCGGATTGGCTCTAAAGACCTAGAACAAATTCTGAAATTGCCACTGGGCAGCTCAAAACATATTTCTAGCACAAAAGATTGCTGACTGGCTCAGAGTAGTTTGCTGAGTCAACAAAGATCACTTTCAAACTAATTCTGATCTTTAGGGGCTGGTTCGAACCATTTCAATTAACTTAAAAGCGATGTCAATTTCAAAAGTATTATGACCACCTTAAAAACAGGTTCAAATCTGTATCAAACATTTCAATCCATTCTAACAAGCTCATACTTGTTCAGAAAATTTCTGGATGATTCATACTATCTCAGAGTGAAAAAATTGAGTTAAACCATTTTTGTTTGATCTAAAATCACTCTGGCTAAAACCAGATGTACCTAACCAAAATTGGATCTGGTTTAAATAGTTCAAATTGCTTCAGACTGATTTTAGCTAGCTCTAATAAGTTCCGCCTGGACAAGCAGTTTCTGAGTGGCTCTCATCAAGTTTGAGTGGTTCCGAGCATATTTTACTGAACCAAGCTAGTGCTGATTAATTAAATCTATCTCCAATTGGGTCATCTTTGCTCTAACTTTATCAAGCTGCTTGTAACTATAGTTCAAGTCATCTATAAAATAGTTTTTACTGGTTCAAAGCAGTCCAAATTGACTGATCAGATGTTCAAACCATTCAAGACTAGAAATGTAAAATGATAATCAGAAGTACCGAAGCAATGGTTTGGTGTTTTAAACTTGCACCGAGCCAACAAACTTCAGTTTTCACTTATAATTACCTCAATGGTAGACAGTCTGTACCCAGGAACTTATGTCCACCACAGTCTAGTTTCTTTCTACACATAAACGTCTTGTCCATATTGGAGGACAGTGAACAGGTTGGGAGAAAGGAGAGCTGGCAAAGGAGAATATAAGCAATAGAGTAACACAGGCTTCCTTTGTTGAGAACTCACCTCCCATTGTACTTCATGGACCTGGCAGCAAAATGTAACCCATGATCCAATAATAAAACAGAAATGTCAGTTGGGGAAAACCTATAGCAAATTTGGCGTTTGTCCTAAATATGTAGCGTTTGTCCTACATTGGCCACAGTGACCAGGCTCGTTAACAGAGACCAGAATTCTAAAGAATAACGAAGCTGTAAGGAAATAAAAGGACTCAGGGAGAAGGCAAGCTTCAAAGTGATAACAGAGATTTTTCAGGGGCTGGGCAGAGAATTGATGGTGACAGTCTCCTTATCTGCCTTCATAGTACCGTTAGTCAAAAATTGGAATTAATGGAATCATTCCATCTTTCAGCAGAAAATAATTCTAATCCATAACAAACTACAACCCTAAACCCATCCTTCAGTCCCATATATGGTTGTCTCCCCACTGCTCACCATCACTAAGTGAAGATAACTTAATGTTAAGGTTCAACTGCTGGTAGGTCTTCATACAGAACAATCTTCATATAAAAAAATTTATTTTGTTTCTTATTTTTGTTACTCAGGTTGTGAGCGATGTTCTGAGGTCTATTCTCCAGAAAGAAAATACACCACTCCCCAAGTATGAAAATAACATAAATTACTTTTGTGTCAGCATTTTAGGGTAGAGAGGGAAACAATGAAAACACACAGTGCAGAATTTGACATTTGAGGGGCAGCCAAACAACATTTTGTGCACCATTTTTAACAAGTGCTCCAACTTACGATGCTTGGGAAGTCAGTCATCAAGGCTTCCCAATTGCATTACTCTTGCTAAAAATGGGTCACAAGCCACGGTCAGGTGCCCACGAGTCAAGCACTTCCCATGCATGAGTGTAACAATCCTCATCACAGTCCTAGAGCTGGGTGGTAACAACCACCCACATATCTTCCTTCAGAAGGATCACAGTGCTATTCTGTCACAGATGCCACAATGAGGAGGTGAGGAACTGGGTCTTGGGCAGCAATATCCACCTGTTAGCCTGGGCTCAACTCCAAAATATTATTGAAAGACAGAAGAAAGTGGAAGTGAAGAGCATGGACTCTAAAACTAAATCACCTGGACGTGAATCCAGTCATGTGACTTTATAAATGTTAATCTCTTTTGTCTTGGACTCCTCATCTGTAGAATGGAAATGATATCCTATTTTATTAATTCTAACATGCACATGCTTTCTTATTTTAACTGCTTTAAAATTGGGTCTTTCACCATCTTACAACCCATGACATCTTGCAGTTGCTATTAAACCAGGTGGCACTGGAGACACAGTTGAGTGAAAACCTTTGATTAGCTTCTTCTAACAAGATCAAGAATGCACCACAACACATTTTAGATTTGATGAAGCACAACAGTAAACTTATCTCAGAAGGT